GATTTGCTTTGGAGGTACAGCTTGCTACTCGACAATCTTCAGATAAGATTTTGGTGTCTACTGTATTATTTATTGCATTGATTCTCTGCCCCTTTATCAATATCCAATCTTCCCTGACTCCCTACCAACAATGTTTCGATCCTGAGTGCAAATAAAGACAAGATGTGCTGTGATACGTCTTTGCACCTGGAATGCTCCCCTTCAAATCTCACTGTATCTGGAAAGAGCCCACTAAACTGCCAAAACCAGAAAACAAAAGTCGGGGATGGATGAGTGGGTTCACAGGTGGCTGCAGGTGAAAATGAGCCCAGGTGGGCAAGAAAAGATGGAGAGAGAATTGATGTGTCCCCGAAGGTCAGAGGGACAGGCTCCCCCTACGGAGGAAGGTTGAGGAAGACTTCAAGAAGCTGACAACCCCTGAGATGCATCACTTCCTCTCGTCACTCTCTGTACCCTTGGCCTTCCCATCACCCCCTAGAGCTTCTGGCTGTGTCTGGAAAAAATGCTAAGCAGCTTCTTGCAAGAGCTGTCACCTGTATAAACTCTGGACAGAGCACTCACAAGAGAGGCCATGTGCCTTGCAGATGGAACATAGTGCTCTTGAGAAGTGGGCTGCAGGGAGCACGTGGGTGGAGTTCCTGGGAGTAGCCATGTGCAGACAAGGAGACAATGCCCAACCCCCCCTCCACGCCCAACCCGCCCCCCAACAACCCTGAAGCAGACTGCTTCCCTTCCAGCCAGCTCCCGCATGGAATTTCACCCCAGGGAACAACCACTCGCCCCCCCTTCCACCACCAGGTGGAACATCCCAGACTTGTTGGAACTGGGGGAAGGAGGAAGGATTCTGGATTCCTTCCCAGTCTGAAGGGTTTCCTTCTGATAGGAGTCACCCAGAGCAGTGAGGGTGCTGGGGTCCAGCTGGGGAACAAGGAAGGCATTCCTGAGAGAAATCAGGAGAGGGTCAACCAGCTCACTCTTCCTACCCAAGCCTGGGCCCAGCCTCCTCCAGCAGGGGACACAGCTAAGGGAGAAACCCACTGACCTGGAGGCTACACTGACTTCACCCTACTGCTTAGACTGGGGTCAGGGACTCGCGAATGCCAGGGATGGGCATCTCTGTAACTAGAAAAACTCGGTCTCCCCTTCCCTGAGGGCTGCATAACATTGGTTTGCCCTTGCTCCTCCCACAGGGAGATTAGGTTTATTGAGCTACTCCCACCACAGTGCTCCCAAGGCACATCCCATTCCATCAGGCACTCCTAATCTTATTTTGCTTTTCTCTTTCCTTTATGTTCTCTGCATAGCTTAACAATGTCCCTTTTGTATAGATACGGGAATACAGTTGATGCTATGCTTTTGTAACATGGGAGTTAATTGACTCCAAATATTTATTCCTGGATATCAATCATATTTACTTGACTTAAGCCTCAGTTGCCCTTACTTCTTATCACCCCCCCAAAGGAGGATCTTGGTGGACTCAGGGCAAGCTGTAAACTACCCTGGCATCGAAAAGGGATAGGTTAAGCACCATAAAAAATATAGTAAGTTAAGAACATGGTCATGGAATAAATTTTGTCATGACCCAAAAAGAAGTAACTGAATAAGGACCTTGCAGGGGTTAGGAAAGACTAACCTGGCCTGAGGACTGTAGTCTGGAATATATAGCGAGTTGTCCCCAGGAAGAGCTACTCTTTAAGCTTAATAATATACCTCTTACTGTGTTCATACAAAATGACTAGAAATATTAATATTCAATATGACTGTTTAAATGGACTCTCGGAGAGCCTGGCAAGCTCCCTGTGACGCATTCGATATGCCAAACACAGTAACAACAAAGTCTCCAATGGAGACGTTACTGGGCCCGCTCGAGCAAATCGACGATCAACGGGAGGGCCTTTACCTTTTTACCTTTACTAGCTAAGGAAAGGAGACTGCAATACACTCTCGATGGAATCCCACACTTGAGCGGATCTCCTAGTAATCTGGAGGGCTGAACCCCCAGATGAGATTTTGTCCTTGAGTTAATCTCCTAGAAGTACTTCCCCTGAAGGAGGGGCTTTACATCTGTTTATTGTTATGGGCTGGAGCTATAGCACAGTGGAAGGGCGTTTGCCTTGCCAGCTGAGCCGGGTTCAATTCCTCCACCCCTCTCAGACAGCCTGGCAAGCCATTGAGAGTATCCCGCACAGCAAAGCCTGGCAAGCTACCCATGACGTATTCAATATGCCAAACACAGTGACAAGTCTGACGATAGAGACGTTACTGGGCCCACTCGAGCAAACCGATGAACAATGGGAGGACAGTGCTACAGTGCTATTGTCATGGTAATGTTCAACCCCAACTATGTGTACCCCCACCCTTCACAATTTCTATATAACTACACTTCTGTAAGAGAGAAGTGGAGGGGAGAAAGGAATAAACGGTCCCTACCTGTGGCCCCTTCCTTCATTTCTCATTGGTCAGCCTAGGGAGTCGGTTCTTGGCCACCAAAGTCACACAAACGCACCCATGCATTTGAACTCACACCTGAGTATCTGACATGTGCAGACTCCATACCCCAAGAGTCGCTGGTCTGTGGTCACACTGGGCAAATATCAAGCGTCTACTGTATTCAGACCAAGGAAGTTGGTTAGTGCTCACAGCTGCAGAGGCACTTGGAGTCTCAGTGGTACTGGGAGGCCTATACAGGGCTGCACGTGGATGGAACCAGGGTCGACTGCAGGCGCCTTAAGCTCTGTGTATCTCTCCAGCCTTAAAATAGGCCTTTCTTCAGCTCAGATAGCGAAGGGACCACCAAGTAAAGGGTGTTTGGAGGGCCCGCTTGGGATGGGAGATGCATGCCACAAGTAGACCATAGACCGAACATGATGAGCATTCAATACTTGCATTGCAGACCACAACACCCTAAGGAAGAGAGAGTAAAGGGGAATGCACCTGCCACAGAGGTGGAGGGGAGTGGGGTAGAATGGGGGGATGGGAGGGATACTGAGAACATTGGTGGTGGAGAATGGGCACTGGTGGAGGGATGGGCACTCAATCATTGTATGACTGAAAGGTAAGCACGAAAGTTTGTAAGTCTATAACTCTACCTCAGGTGATTCATTAAAAAATAAAAATAAATAAATAGGCTTTTCTTGACTCCCCAAACCCCAAATGGATAGGTGCCTCTTTCTTTTCTTCTCAGGATGGATAGGAATAGTGTGTGTTTGTGTGTGTGTGTGTGTGTGTGTGTCTGTGTCTGTGTCTGTGTACAATGCACAAGCTCTCCCCTGACCTCTGTGATTCTATGCAATGCCTCTCAGTCCTATCCATCTGTGATGAGTTCAGGGAGCTTTTTCTAGCCCATCCCTGCTAAGTTCCAGAGCCAGACACAGACTATTCTTAAAGTAACCCACTGGGAAAATATTATGTCCATTTTACAGAGGAAGAAAGTGGAGCTCAGACTATCTAAACAACACAGGGCAAAGGAGCAATATTCCTGATTGTCCTTAGGGGCCCTCCTCCCTTGCTGCCTGATTTTTTTTTTTTTTGACAAAGACCATCAGAACAGTGATTCCCGGGAAGTTGAGGACCTTGCTTTAGGCATTTAGAGCTATAGGGTTCTAAGATTTGCATTCACAAAGAGGAGTGTCCCTCTCGGTACTGCCAGCAGGCCCTCACCCTTGCCAAATCAGGTTGTAGACAAGAACCCTGGAGGGGAGGTTGAAGCTGAAAGCCCTACAGAGGTGAGGGGAGCCCCCACTCCGCACCTAGAAAGGGATGCAGGAGGCAAAAGGATTTGCCTGATGGAAAATTTGAGGGCACTCACCCCTATGATGCAGTGAGTCCAAAGCTAGGGGTCTGAGCATAAAGGGTTTGGGGTAGGGAAGGACATAGGCCTGACAGACACAAGCAGAAGAAGTAGGTTTCAGCCAGGTTCTAAGTTAATGGGGCGGGGAGGGGGGTCTGAGCTAGCCTTGGGCTGTCCATCCCATCCACGGGCTCTCTTCCACCGGGTGCTGGGGACCCTGCTCCACCACACGGATAAGAAATGAAAAGCAGGGGCTGGAGTGATAGCACAGCGGGTAGGGCATTTGCCTTGCATGCAGCCGACCTGGGTTCGATTCCCAGCATCCCATATGGCCCTCCGAGCACTGCCAGGAGTAATTCTTGAGTGCATGAGCCAGAAATAACCCCTGTGCACCGCCAGGTGTGACCCAAAAAGCAAAAAAAAAAAAAAAATGAAAAGCACCGGGGACCCCACTTAACACAGTGCCCCACTAGACCCCAGCCATTGCCCATGTCCCAAGCACTGCCAAGGCACAGCTGTGGCATCTCAGCATCAAGGGGGACATGTCGGGGCTGTACTCTCTTGCCACGGGTTCCCGCCTGCCCCTCCAGGCTGAGTGAAGGGATGGAGCAGGCAGGAGCCTGGCCTGGGAGCCCAGGAGTGACTCTGCCACCTACTGGGTTAACTTGGCCTCTACCTTCCTCATCTGGGAACTGGGGTGGCACTCAACTCACCAGCTGGCTCTGAGGACCCAGGAAATGTGTAGGCCCTGAGAACACTGCCAAGTGGGAGTAGGCACCCCCGCCAACCCTCCCACTTCTCCCCCACCCACCCACACACACACATCATCACCACCACCACCACCATCAGCACCAGACATCACCACTTTGAGCAGTTCTTTAGGGCCCAAGAATCTGTCTGATTGGCAGGTGCTGGCCTGCACAAAGCTGCTTGTTAGCTGGAGGTGAAGGATCAGGAGGACCCCAGGAATAACTTCAGGGGAAGCCCAAAGTAGATGGGAAGGACATAAGGTGAGAGAATGGACCCCTCTCTCCAGCTGCAAGCAACACACACCTCTCCACAGAACCCTAGGATTCATCCTTCTCTTCTCTCTGGCTTCCGTTCCCCCGGTCTCTGCCTCCCCATCTTTGGTGCTGCCTCTAATGTCACAACAGTCTTAAAAATGAGAAACCCATCCCTCACATGCCCCCCACCCCCCACCCCTGAATACCTGTATCCTTGACTCTGATGTTTGAGAAGTGATTTCCAAGTTGATAAAGCAACACAGAAGAGCTCTGGAGAAGGCAGTCTGGACAACGTCTGGGGGAAGAAAAATGTGAGTCCCGACTTCTTCTTGAGACTGTTGGCAGGACCCGGGCTTAGAGACTGGGTGCTCGAGAGTGACCCCAGCAAAAGGACCTTGGCAGCAGCCAATTCTCCCAGCACAGTTTTGAAACACCACCAGAGGAGGAAGCCTCTTTAATCAAATAATAAATAATCAGTCTGAGATAAGTCCTGCTAGGCTGAGCTGGGCCGGCCAATCACAGGCTTCCTGCCGACAAACCACAAGGACAAACAGACCCGGCTTTAGGAGTGAGTTTCAAGGCTTGTTATAATTTAATGATGCTGTGGGTGGTGTCTTCTTGGCTGTACCCGGAGGGGATTATCTAACTGCGGAGTGAAGTTCCCGCCTCAGAAACCTTCCTCCTTGGAAGTGGCTGGAACCGGGTCGCAGTTGAACCATCTGAGTGATGTCGGGGCACACAGCCTCCTTCGTGGCTCAGAGTTCTCACCGCTGTGGCCAGCACCGGAAGCTCTGAGAGGGTCCCAGGCCACAGGGGCAACTCTTGGGCCTTAAAGAGGTAGTGAAAACCCTGCTGCTCTCTCTCATCTGCCGGAGATGCTTTAGCACTTTTGCTGAGCTCCTGAAGCTCAGTGACCGTGAACTTCTTTGTTCTTTGGCTTTTCTTCCCTTGCCAGTGTTGTCAGGAGGCCACAGAGGGATAAGGGGATGAGTATAAGGAAGCCTAAGAGCGAAGCGTGACCCGACAACTTCCCAGCCCTCTGAGTCTGCCTGAACACATCGCGTAACCTCTTCCTGGTCAAGTTGCTGTAGGAATTAAATTGGGGGGTGGGGGGGAAGGCCTCCACCAGATCCCAAGATGGTTGTTAGGGGTCTGGAGGAGGGAATGTAAACAAACGGTCTTGTTATACGAGAGCCCAATATTTAAGGAATTTAAAGGAAAGCCCTTTGTTGTCCCCGTCCTCATGAGCAATTGGGACAGTTCAGCAATCCCACGAGACCCCTTTCCCCTTAGTTACCACCCCCAACCTCCCCCCAGCCCCCATTTATTAATTTGCTCGAGCGGGCCCAGTAACGTCTCCATTGGAGACTTTGTTTTTACTGTGTCTGGCATATCGAATCCAGCCCCCATTATTGAGTCAATAAATATTTAGTTTGCGTTCAGAGGTGGGAGTAATCACGGGGCTCCCCAAGCGCCCATGAGGATGTGTAAGGAGACAGCAAGGGGATGTTTGGGGATCCTGGGTGCAGCCAATGGCAGGGTTCCTCCTGCAGGGCTGGGCCCTGACCAAAGGGAAGAAGGGCAAAGAAGCAGTTCCAGTGGGAGTCACGCCTTCTCCAAGGGAACAGGCAGCGGTGGGGTGGGGGTGGGGGGACAAGGAAAGGTTATATTCCTGTTCATTTCTTAAAAAAATTAATTAACTAATTAATTAAAAGGCCAGGACGACAGTTCAGCTGGTGAAATGCAGGCGCTGCATGCGGAGGCCTTTGCTATTCCCTCAATTTATGCAGTTCCCTGGGATCCACAGAAGCACACCCCGCCCCCCTCCCCCACTCCTAAGAACTGAGCTGAAAATATTCCTGAGCAATGCAGGGGGTAGGCCCCAAACTAGAAAGTGAAAAGCATCACTTCCTTGAGATACAGCTCACTCACTATCTAATCCCTCCATTCAATCAATACATCTGATTCAGGTGATTCTAGTAGATTCCTGCGGTTGTGCTTTGGTCAGTTGAATCGAGTTCCAACCCTTGAGTCCCGCCCTAAGAACGCCCTTTTATTTGCCATGACTCCCCTCACCCATCCCCACTTCAGCTTAGGCAGTGACCCCAACACTCCATGTCCCACAACGTCTGTCTGGCCTCTTCTGGACATTTCCTTTAAAGACCTCCCCCACCCCCATCCCAAGGATCCCATGACAGACTTCTTTCACTTGGCGGGATGTCTTCATGGTCTCTCTTCATGCCTGTTTAGTACAAAATATCCTACCCCAAGGCTCTATCACACTTCATCCCCTGATAGACATTTACATTGTTTTCACTCGCTTGTTGTTAGGAATGATACAAGGTATCATTTGTATAGAATTGGGGCCTTTGCATAGAAGCCTCCACTCCCGTTTATCTCCAGAGTTACAATCCCCAACAGGGAAGCAAGCAAGAAGCCCAGCAGCTAGTCAAGAAAGAGAATGAAGCTCTGACAGCCTCTCTCCAGACGGATGTCAGATTCTCAGGGCAGAGCCTGGGGCCGCTGCATGCACAGAGCCATGCAGTGCAATGAAGCACTGCACATTCTCTCCCAGGGCGTCCTGGCCATGAGGGCGGTATTCTTTTGATTGTGACTTTCAAGATGTAGCACTGCAGCACTGTCCTCCTGTTGTTCATCGATTTGCTCGAGCGGGCACCAGTAACGTCTCACAACAAATTGTGAGATTTGTTGTTACTGTGTTTGGCATAACGAATACGTCACAGGTAGCTTGCCAGGCTTTGCCGTGCGGACGAGATATTCTCGGTAGCTTGCCGGGCTCTCCAAGAGGGGCAGAGGAATCGAACCCAGGGCGGCCCGGTCAGCCACACGCAAGGCAAACACCCTACCGCTGAGGTCACCACAAATCAGAAAGGATGAGTAACTTGCCAAAGATCCCTGGGACAAACTCTGTAGCCAAAATGAAGAGCTGTATTCTTTCCACTCCATGGAACAAGTCTTCGTTCTTCTCGGCTGTTTACACTCAGCTTCTAGGATGTGTCCTTCAAGGAGAGAGAGAGAGAGAGAGAGAGAGAGAGAGAGAGAGAGAGAGAGAGAGAGAGAGAGAGAAAGGAGAAGAAGAAGAAGAAGAAGAAGAAGAAGAAGAAGAAGAAGAAGAAGAAGAAGAAGAAGAAGAAGAAGAAGAAAAAGAAATAAAAAGAGGACTTCACCATTATTTATGGAGAAAATGGCCATTAGTCCCACAAAGAGTTGTTATTGTCTGCCTTTGAAAGACTGGCACCTAAGATTCAGATACATTTTGCATCTAAAGGCACAGAGCTTGCCAGCCAACCATTAAGATTTGAAAGGCAGGTAGGTGACTCGCAAATACAAATTAGGTCAGATTGCTTTTCCCAGCATCACACAGAGCAGAAGGGGAGGGGAAAGGGTGACTTCTGGAAGAGGAACTGCAAGAAGGGGGTGACCTGGGGGAGGATGATGTCAGACCAGACATTGTAGGGGGCTGGAAGGGGATTAAAGACCCTGAAAGTGTCAGGAAGAGAGAAGAGGTGACAATGAGCAGAAGAACAGCAAGGAAGTGAGGAAAAGTCCCGTGAAAAGGTTGGCCGTGCTCCTGATGTATTCCATGTATAAGAAGGAAATGCTAAATGATACAAATGTCTTCTGTAGAAAGTGCATCCGGGTTGGAGGACATCAACAGTGACCACACCAGGAAGCACTACCAGATTCTCCTTCTCTGTCCAGTCCCAGTCACAGAGAATGATCTGGGATTGAGATCCTGAAGTCCCCACCTGGAACAGGAGATCAAGGGGGAGAGGCAAGAGGGAGCAGACCAGGGCCACAGTCACCTCTGATAGGGAGACTCCTGGGCTAAGTTTTTTCTGCAGGGAGGAATGGTTGAACAGACAGCAGATGCTTGGGGGGTTGGGGGTGGTGGGGAGGGTGTGGGGAAAGGGGATTCCAGAGAGAGGGAGGCAGTGGTTCAGAAACAACCAGACCTGATCTTGAGTCTCAACTCCAAGTTTATGCCAGATTCACTTGGTTTCCTGCCCCAATATTTGCAGAATTCGATACTCATCAAGCAAGGCACTGTCAGAAAAAAAGAAGAAAAAAATCAGATAGATAAGCTTTCTAAAATAGGAAGCAGTCCCAAGAGAGTTCCAAGCCTATCAGATCTCTGAGTGAGTTGCAAGTTGCACTTCTGGAAAATGAAAGCTATCTTCAGGTTTCCACTTCAGAGCAACCAGGGTTGACTGGGTGCCAGGCTACGGAATTTAATGAGCATCTGGTCCAGGTGCTCATTTAATCAGCTGGTCCAGGGCGACGAAGAAAAAAAAAAAGAAAACTAAACAGAATGTATTAGGTATATTTATGCCCGTTTCAAAGATTGAAAAAGTAAAGTTCAGAGAGGTTACATAACTTTCAAGAAGTCACACAGCTAATATGGATAAGCAGAGATATGAACCCAAGATTTCTGACTCCAAAGCCCAGGATCTTTCAAGCTACCACTTCCAAGAATCCTTTGCTACATTTTCTTTCTGTCTCTCCTAAGTTGCCACTAAGCCCATGCTCTCGCCAGTGGTTTTTGGAGCAAGTCATTTGTGTGCGAGGGCAAACACAGAGCTTATGTCTTAGATCTTGCGCACTTAAATTCAGACTCACACATACCTGCAAGGGCAGATAGGCAATCCTCTATGCTGCGATGCTCAAGTGTGGGTCTCCTGCTTCGTCTCCTTGTGCATTATTCCCTCCAGAGAAGGATCCAAGAGTCTTCAGCTCATTTCCTCAAAGCTGTGTAAAGTTCTGGGCTGGAGCGATAGCACAGCGGGTCGGGCGTTTGCCTTGCACGCAGCCAACATGGTCGACACAGGTTCGATTCCCAGCATCCCATATGGTCCCCTGAGCACCGCCAGGAGCAATTCCTGAGTGCATGAGCCAGGAGGAACTCCTGAATATCGCCGGGTATGACCCAAAAAGAAAAAAAATAAAAGCTGTGTATGTGTAAAGTTCTGTCCTTGAGCCAGACAAATATCACAGAAGAAGATTAGGCACTTGCCTTGCAAGTAGCAACTCCCAATTTGATCCCTGGAATTGCATATGTGAGCATCTCCCAGTAATTGACCCCCGAGCCCCAATGGGTGTGACCCCAAAAAAGGTAAAGGTAAAGGCCCTCCCGTTGATCATCGATTTGCTCGAGCGGGCCCAGTAACGTCTCCATTGGAGACTTTGTTGTTACTGTGTCTGGCATATCGAATACTCTCGGTAGCTTGCCGGGCTCTCCGAGAGGGGCAGAGGAATCGAACTCAGGTTGGCCATGTTGGCTGCGTGCAAGGCAAACGCCCTACCCGCTGTGCTATAAATAAATATATGTTTGTCCTTAGATGGTTAGTGACAACCTTGCTACTTTACCAGCTTCTGTGACTAGAGCCATTTACTTCTTGCAGGCAGAGGGCCTGGCCTTGGGAGGAATCAATACCACATGATCTCTACTAACTGCCGTCAGTGGAATCTAATGGGAACATTGACGGCTACCTACTGACAAGCATAAACTGTCTCTAATTTGGCCCAGTCCCAGACACAGGTGCACAGTCACATCCACTGAATGTGGGGATTGCCAAGCAGATCTTAATCTCAAAAGCAGTCTGACACCAAGCAGGTAATGGAATTGAGAAAAATCAGGTGCAATTAAAACTTAATAGTGGGGATACAGTTATAGGAAGGCACAACCGTAAACAG